TCACGAACAACGCCCCCCCTACAACCTCGCAATACCTGCTCCCTCGACAAGCTCCGAGCGCTTGAGGGGTGCGGCGCCAACACTCTGCGGGCACACGGGGCAAAGAAGAGGACCGGGAAAATGAGATCCGACCAGCTCCGAACGCTTCGTGTACGGCGGATGTGGGCCGTACACGGTGGCACTGTGGCCACCTGGTAAGGTCATGTTTGACCTGTTCTTAGCCATTTGGATCATTTGGAGAATGAATGGAGGAATTCTTATAAGCATCTTTCAAGATCCCATCCGATTCTTCAATATCCCGTCCGATCACCGTTTGTTCGGAAAGAGCCCTTTCCTTTTACCCGATGCAGCTGGCTGCCAGAAGTAAATTGCCATACTGACTCTATATATACTTCTATGGGCGGAGGGGGACATCGTGCAGGATTACACAAGGCTTCCCAAGACTTGGACCAAGGCCATCTTTGGAGACCAAGGCCACCCCTGAAAAACAATATTTTTGGGCGCACCTTCTAGAGGATCATCCCTAGGGCTCCAACCACCTCCGTTTCGAAGGTGGTTGGGGTGGGTGCCAGGGGGATCTAACCACCGAACCCGAGGAGATGGGACACGAGCCCTAGGGCATGGTCAAGATTTCCGCCTGTCCCACGGCGGCCTCCGGGAGCCGCTCCGCTTCGGCAGGGGAAGGTGGAGCGCCGCTCGATGAAGCGGAGCTTTTTGCCGGTGGTGTGTGGGGACATAGAGCGGAGAAGAGTGGCGGGCTTCGGAAGACACGATCAGGTTGCACAGATTAATGTTAATCATATAAGAAGCAATCCTTTATGAACTCGTGGTTTCAGGTTTTCAGTGATGTCCTTTTGAGTAACATTTCAACATGTCATTAGGTTTGGTAGGAGTTCTGTGTTTGTTTGTTTGACAGCTAAAAAGGAACAATTGTAGCTTCAAGTTTCCACACGAGTAGTTTCATCATCGCAATGTGGCAGTACTGATCAGTACTGTACTGGTCACCCATCATCCAGTTCTGCAGATCAAACTTTGGTTCTTTTTGAGGATGTTCTATGTCAAGCATGAGGGCTCCGAACTGGTCGACTGGACCGACCGAGTCGCCTACAGGATCCAAACGCCGCACAGCGGGCAGTTCCGCAGAAGAGTCACAAGTTTTGTTTCATTTTGTTTTTCCCAACCTTAGCTGAGGCCCGGGGCCAAGCCCAGTGAAGGCGCGTGAAGGCACAGACCCTTCCCAAGCTGAGCCTCTTCGCATAAGTTCCGGGAGAGCTGTTTTTTCAAGGGCCCCCCCAAGCCAGCCAGAGTTACCCTGTCTCAAAAAACATGTTTTTGGATTCGGAACTGCTGAACACCTTGATGTCAAACCCTGCAGCCACGTGGGGGGGGCCCGTCCCTTCTCCAGCACATGGGCAAAAACTTCGGTGGGACATGGTGGGAGTACGGATGAGTGGCAATATCTTCGATTGGATAACTGCATCACAACCAGAATGTTGCTGTTTGATTGCTTCACATTGTTCCTGTTTGGTTAACTTCCACGTTGGAAGGAGGGTGCATACCCTTCCCACATTCTACCTGTTGGTTCCATTTGACCAGTTCTCCCCTCACCATTTCTGCCGACAGGCTGATGGCGATCCGCACGGAAAAGCTGACCAGCGATGAATTGTGGAGCGCAAAAGGCAGGCAAAAGGCAGGCAAAAGGCATGAGCATGACCAGGTGAGATGGGGCGGAGATGGGGCAGAGCTCCCTCCAACATGCAAAAGCCGGGTGGGCCATTAGACAGATGCCGGAAAGATCCGGAAAGCTATGGCGAGGTGCCTGTGTTCTTCGCATTTTGGAAAACCAAAAAAGTGGGAGGAACACCGAAATCGCCCTTCATGCTTCATGCTTCATCTCCAGTAGGTCAAGATGGCTGGTTGCGGCATTGTTCAGCCTGTAGACAAAACCTGCAAAGTGGCTATTTGGAGCTAGTGGGAGTGCTTTGGAGCAAGTGTGCTTGCCTTTTGCCTGCCTCCTCTTTGGTTGCAAGAGAGTTGCACCTTCAAGGTTCGCGGTTTTCATCCGCAACTTTGTTGCTGTGCATTGTAGAATTGTTCTCATTTTCCGCGCAATAAAGACAGGTTCTGACCATTTTTGGAAAATCAGCGATGTTGATGTATGCTGTAGTCAAGACAGATCGCAGACCGAAGACCGTTGTTTATCCAATGATTTGCTTGAACTTCGGCACACTATCAGTGTCGTGCCCTATCGTTCTGCAGGGTGCCATTCGCCATGAGGAGCGGCGCAGCATTTCCTGGAAAGAATGACAGCTAGTTTGCCATAGTTTGCCATTCTTTCATTGTGGCTTAGCATGTGTGTGTGTGTGATTGGTTTGTTCAATAGTAAATTGATATCGATGATACAAAAACGATCAAAGACATACTGTAGTTGCTTGGTTCCAATGATGCCACATCATTGAATCATGGCTGACCTCCATTTGGGGGAAGCAGTCCAGATACTTCAGGTGTTTCAATGTCGCGTCACACGTTATCGACCGCGCTTATTTTTGGTACAGCCGTGTCAGCCAATCATTGATGCGCAGCATGGTGGCAAGAGTTCAGGGTCGGAAAATCAAAACGTCCCATTTTATTTTCGTGTATTGTTGGACCTGTCATCAAACTCAGGCATGTACTGGCTATATGTGTATAATGCACCTGGACCATACCTGGACCCTGAAAAAAAATGCTTTTCATATGTGTTCCCCGTCTCACCAGAAACCATGGCGCAGAAACATGCAGCAAGTTCGTGATAGAAAACATGACACCAAACTGATGCAGCCGCAGAAGTGACAAAATAACACGCGGAAGTAACAAAAAACATGCATGTTACACGATGTTACACGTTGGTTTGCTTTTAAAGCTTCCCCTGAACATGGCTCCCACCAGGGGGTAAAAGCATTGTGTGTTTGTTTCTGGTTGTGCAGGGTGCACACACACATATAATTATGTAATCTACATGTACAGTATTATATATATATATAGTCTAGTATATACATTAGATGAACGTGGCATAGTTATTGTTCAAAAAGAACCGTCCCTTCTCAGCTGCCAACTTGCGCTGTTTTCCCAGCGAAAGCTGTCGAAGACAGTGGCTGCAGTTTCTGGTTTTCAGGGCAAATGATGACCAGCCACTCTCGTAATATATATATATATATGTATATATTCCCCTGATCTAGAATCCAGCCATCTACAGCATTTGCTTTGTGACGTGCGGCGTTGCAGAAATCCGAAAGAGACTGGGAGACCTCAATTAAAATCGCACGTCCGAGCTAGATCGGTATGATTCCTGGAAAATATGAGGACAAGCACCAGCAAAGAAAACTCAAGAAACAGCAAAGAAAACTCAAGAAAAATGAAGCGCTTTCGAAGCCTTGGCAGCTCCAGCGGCTATGATTTGCCCCATTACGTCCCCAAATGCCCGGCAACCTATGACATAAGCCAGGGTCGCAGGGCCAATGATGCAGGGGTGTGGCCATGTTTGACTTTAGCAGCAACAGACATACGGTGGCATACGGATCTTGCTGTGAGTGTTTTGGTTGACCATGTTGTTGTGGGTATACATGTGGGTTTGCCAACCACGCCGGTCCTTGGCCAGTTCTCCTGCCCGAAAAGTCTCGCGGGTACGGGCCCCTCTTGAAAGACACGCGGAGACCAAAAGACCGCGGCGCGGTCGGCGCTGTTTGCTGGTCGCCTCCGGAGGTTGGGAGCGGCATGTGACTTCTATGGCAGTGAGGGGGGCTCCCAGTAAGCGATGAGGCCCCCCTACTCTACCTAACATGCCAGTTAGGCATGTTCACTCGACTTGGGCTTGTACCAAGTTCATTCAATTGGGCCTATCTCCGGAAAGAACCCCGGGAACCACGCAATGCCCAGGTTCGATTCTCCCCCAGTGACTGTCCGACAAGGGGATCAGGCAGCTTGAAGCCAAGCTCGAAGAAGGACCCAAAGTGAGTAATCCCGTCCCCCTAATAATAAACACGGCCCCCCCCCCCCCCTAATAAGGAAACCTCGGTCGCATTTTTTTTAATAGGGGGTCCCTGAAATCGGGGTGTCCAAAATAGGGTCACCTGGAAAGAGTTTCAAAACCAAAAAGTAATCCAGGAAAATTTTATATAAAATCCTTTATTAAACTCATATCAAAAATGCAAAAAACCGCCAGATCGAAGGGTCTTCCTTTTCCCCTACAAAAACCTTCATTAGAATAGTGATTCTTCAGTAGACTAACAGCTAAAGCTTTCGAAAGGTGATGTCGCTGTGCCATGCGGTGTTGCATGACCTCGGTGGCAAGTGCGTTTGCGTGAGTCCGTGCCATTGAGGGAAGGAAAGCCTGCTGGTGTAAGCGCGGCGTGTCATGGTGGAGTTTTGGGGAACCTAATAAAAAAAACTACCCCCAAAATCGACCATGTTGGTAGTTTAGTAGCGGCTTGAAAGGGCGGCAATTTAAAACCAAATATAAACCGAATTTAGGGGATCCGGCATGACTTTTTTTTAATTGGGGTCCGTTTTTTAATAGGTACTCGGGATTAGCAATGTTAGGTGCCTTGTAAATGGATGGGTGTGGTGCATATGTGAGAGTGTCAGGCAGTACAGAGGGGTACGTCGGAGTGCGTTTCTTTTTTTTTAAGAGAGAGCATGATGCTACATTGTATCGGTATATCTTAAGCTTGAGGCCCTGCTGGCCACATCCGGTTTAAAAGAAACACTGCGGCTCACCAACATGGAACTGGTGTCCCCCTCCTCTCCTCTCCCCCCTCCTCTCTC